CCCCGTCTCCTGCACCCCCGTAGTGGCACGGACAGACTCCCCCAGCCAGTAGAACAGAGGGAGTTTATTGCTCCTCCGGGATACAGCGCAGCACAGATGTGATCTGGTTACAGGGCAGGCCTAGGATTCCTCAGCCCCCTTGAGATGGGGGAGCCTGGGCCCCTAAATCCCAGCCCCTTTCCCTAGGCTGTCTCCTCCATGATCCCAGACAGAAACTCCCTCACTCCCAGCCCTGCCCCCAGCCAGGGCTCCACTCTCCTTCTTCCCATTGTTCTGCTCCCTGGGAGATCACTGGTCAGACAGGTTCTTAGCCCCCTTGCATAACGACTCATCCCCTGCCCTGCTGGGCCGTGCTGCAGCCAGTGGAGGTCACTCAGAGCCCACTGCCCAGCATAGCCACCAGCAAGGTACCCCCCACTACGTCACACCGGGCAGACAGACGTTACTGCGGATATCGAAGGAGCCGGGCAGCGAGAAGGGAAACAAACCCACGTTTGTTTAAATGGAAACCGACAAAGGGTGTTTGGGAAAACGTCACTTGCAGGCTTCCAAGCGGGTCTCACCCCATGGAGGGAACGAGCACAGCACATGAAAAGCCACGAAGAAAGGCCCTTCATGCGACCGGTTTCACGGCCTCGTCCGGCAGCCTGGGCCCTAGCAGAGGGGCTGCAGAAACCCACGTGCTAATGCACTTTGCGAGCGCTCTGCTTTTGCTCATTAGGCCCTGCGGATAGCCCTTCTCGTCAGGGACGGGGGCGGGGCACTCAAACGATGAAGGTGTCTGAAGAAGAAGCGAAGCGAAATGAATGGGACTTACCACTAACACAAGGACGTTCATTAGCCGGTCAATGCTCGTCCGTTTAAAGGTTGTTTTCCCGCTGTTCTGCATTAATTTGGTGTCTGGCCCTAAAAGATCAAACACCGCCATGATTTTTAAGGGCATGGATCACTTCCAGAGCCGCTTCCCTTCCATGCACCAAAGCACTCTACAAACATACATTAACAGGGTCATTACGTCCCTCTAATTTTTCCATTCATATGTGGAATAAATTTTGTTCTGTGCACTGGTAGAAATACAAGCTGCCGGCCGTGCGCACTCTGCTACTCACCTGGGTGGCCGCCCGAGCACACAGCTTACCGGGCACGCTGATCATATTATTCCCATGTTACAGATGGCAGTAAAGTAGCATGCCAAGGCCATAGAATCAGAAGCAGAAACCAGACCTCCCGGCGCTCACGCCCTGCTACAGCCAACGCGCCCACCCTAACTTATGGAAAAGAGCAGGTACCACATCGGCAGCGCCCCTGCCCCCCGTTCATTTCCTTGCGGGTCTGCAGTGCGACACACACAACCCCAATCTCACTTTCGCCTCCCACAAATACAGGTGCAACCGAACCCTGGCCCTGGGTCCCAGGTGTAACCCGGAGGAGGGGTGTCTCTGAGCTCTCCGGGCTGCTTGCAGCTGGGACCTGCTCAGTATCCGCGTGGAGCAACCAAGAGACTGAGTCCCGAGCCCTCAAGCGCCCATAGGGCGGGGCTAGGCTGAGGCTCCTCCCCCACCCTGACACTGGCTGCCCCCAGCCCTGGGGGGGAGCAGCTTCTCTGTATGACAAAGAGTCCGTCAAGGTGCACTGAGGTTTTGCAACCTCGGTCAGGTTCACTCCCCACTGCCCTCCGGCAACCTGACTCAGAAAACTCCCCAGGGAGTGTCTGGGCCGCCCCTCGCCCAGGGCGAAGGGACGTGCCGCCGTTCCCCTCGCGTTCTTGTCCCCGGTGGAACCCGCCTCCCCGGGGGACGCAACTGGCCCTTCCCGCCCCCCGGGGGGACGTTTCCAGCCTGCTCCTCCGCGGGTGCCACCTACCGGCGTAAATCACGAGGCCGAAGCACCACTCCGTGTTCCTGATGGTGCAGCCCCGCAGCAGCATCTTCTCGTTGTCCAGGGCAAACTTCTCCCCGTGGAGCGTCAGCGTCCCCGTGAACTTATCCAGCTTGTTGTTCGGTGCCTCGCATCTGACTTCCCCTGGAAGCAGAGAGCCGGCAATGGGAAACCTCCCTGGGGCTAGCCCCCCTCCGCCGCCCGGGCAGGGCACCCCCAGCAGCGCCGGGCCCTCTGCGGGTACTGCCCCTGCCCCTGCAAGCCGAGTGTCTGCACCGAGTGACGCCCCTCCTGGGCGTGTCCTGTGCCACTGGCCACGGGCTGGTCCCGGCCCCTTGAGGCTACATCATATCCCGGCCCTCTCTCCCCAACAGAGATCCCGTCCCCTTGCCAGCCCCGCAGCCCCCAACCGGCCCGGCCAGCGCCCAGTGCCATGTGGCTGGGGGGCCCGGCCAGGGACCCGACGGACACGGCCCACCCCCAGCCCTCCCCAAGCAGCTGGGGGAGAAGGGGCCAGCCTGAGGTTCCGGCCGGGCGTCGGCACAGCGGAGAACACACGCACATGCAGACAGCAACGTCCAACAGAGTCGCACGCAGGGGCAACCCCGACCTGGCCCCACGGCCTCCTACAGCAGCCTGCCTAGCGCACTGCCGGCCCACGCTGGGCTGTGCCACCCCCAGCCCTCCCCAAGCAGCTGGGGGAGAAGGGGCCAGCCTGAGGTTCCGGCCGGGCGTCGGCACAGCGGAGAACACACGCACATGCAGACAGCAACGTCCAACAGAGTCGCACGCAGGGGCAACCCCGACCTGGCCCCACGGCCTCCTACAGCAGCCTGCCTAGCGCACTGCCGGCCCACGCTGGGCTGTGCCACGCGTCCGGCCGGCGGAGCGGAGGCCGCTGCCGACGGGGAACGTACCTGGCAGGGTTGCTTTAGCGGCTGTGGGACTCTGCCCACGACAGCCCGGGGCTGACGCTGTCTACCCGCGGGCAGTGGGTCTAGCGGGCACCCCAGAAAGGAAGCAGGAAAGGGCTCGTAAGAGAAGCAAGCAGAGCGTCTGTGGAAAGGCAGGAAGAGGAGCTGGGGGCAAAGGAACAAGCACACGTCAGTGTCGGAGCCCCCAGCGGCAGAGCGAGCTCTCGGCAACCCTGCGTGTGACACTCCCCACAGCTGGCGCCGAGTTGCCTCCAGGCGGGAGAGAGGAGCACCCTGAGTAACGTCGCCCCGGGAGCGGCTTCCCTGCACGGCCCTGCACAACGGTAGCCAAGCTGTGGGTGCCTTTGCCATCCAACTTTCTCCTCTCGGCCTGCCCCGGAAGCCCGTGTCGGGCTCCATACAATTGTTTCTGCCTGTACAGAGGTTAGCTGCAGAAGTGAGGCTGAGTCTAATCAGGCATGCGTCCCAGGACTTTTCCAAATACAATGCTTCCTGCTGCAATTCCTATTTCCCCTTTCAATGTGTCAAACAGAGCCCCCTTTCTATACACCACTAGAGATTTTGGAAAGCTTCAACCCAAGTGTGACATAGTGGGGGTACCTTGCTGGTTGCTATGCTGGGCAGTGGGTTGTGAGTGACCTCCACTGGCTGCAGCATGGCCCAGCAGGGCAGGGGATGAGTCATTATGCAAGGGGGCTTCGAACCTGTCTGACCAGTGATCTCCCAGGGAGCGGAACAATGGGAAGAAGGAGAGTGGAGCCCTGGCTGGGGGCAGGGCTGGGAGTGAGTTAGGGAGGTTTCTGGCTGGTATCATGGAGGAGACAGCCTAGGGAAAGGGGCTGGAATTTAGGGGCCCAGTCTCCCCCATCTCAAGGGGGGCTGAGGCATCCTAGGCCTGGTTCCTGTAACCAGATGACATCTGTGCTGTGCTGTATCCTGGAGAAGCAATAAACTCCCTCTATTCTACTGGCTGGTGGAGTCTGTCCGTGCCGTTTCGGGGGTGCAGGAGACGGGGGACCCCCAACGCGCCGTCACCCCAAGAGAAGAGTTTTAACTCTGGAAAAGGTTGTGAAACACTTGGCGAGTGCCACTCTTATGAAAAGTAACGATCCTGGCCCTCGTTAGACAGCCCGTCTGAGAAACGAGTTTTCAAACTTCAAATGAAGATTTCGGGTTCCACAGCGTGGCCTCTTCAGTAAAACGGGGAGTGGAACTCCCCAAGCAAGGAGGGACCGTTCTTTACACAGCGCTTCCCAGTGCAGCCAAAAAAGTAACTGTCTGCAAGCCCCCTGGAGACGAGGGAGCCCAGAACCGCAGCCCTCGCTTCCGAGGGATCTTGTCGTAAGGAGAGGTCACACAACAGAGTCAGAGCAAGACCTGTTGCGTGAGATCCGACTGCAGAGAGAGGGCGTTAGACTGCACGGCTTAGCGACATTCTGAGCTGCGGGACAGAGGGAGCGGCTGATCGCTGTTCTGCCCCGGACCCCGTCAGGAGGAGAGTCGTCCGCTCTTTGCACGGCCATCAAATTGCTAGTCCCATGGATCCGGGACTCAAGACACGTCCCGGAGAAGAGGGAGAGCCAGAGCACACCCCCACCACCGCTCTGTAGCTTTCCATTCCATTCGGGTTCCCTCACGAGCACAGCGCCCTCCAGTGACTAGTGTGTGTGCGACGTTCTCGCCCTCTCTGGGTACGGCTAGGCAGCGGCACTATTTCGGGATACATCCGGGAACAGCGCGCCCATTATGTCCAAATGCAATCGAAACAACAGGCGCGCTATTCCGGCGTCCCGGGAAGCCTTGTTCCACGAGAATTAAGGGACTTGTCGGACTAGCACACGGTTTTTGGTGCTGCGCAGACAGAGCCACGTTTCGAAATAGACTCTCTCGAAATACGTTCGAAATACGCCATGCATGCTGCATAGCTCCGGTGGCTACTTCTGAGCCAGTGCAGTGGTGTGGACGCGCCCTCCCAGCAGAAGAGCTCTGCGTACAACGGAAAGTTTTGCTTCTACGGGGCTGGGCGGGGGCTTTTGGTGCATGTTGCCAAGAGTTTAAGTTAGAGAAAGGCAGGCCAAACAAGCAGGCCTTGCAAGTGTAGCTCTAGGACGGGGTGAGGGACCCTTTTAGGGTCGAGGGCCTCTGACCCACAGAAAAAAAAATCAGTCGGGGGCCGCATACAAGTGAGAAGCAAAAATAAAGCCCTAAACCCGCCCTGAGGTGGCCCCCAGCTGAGGAGCAAGACAAGACCCTCCCCACGTTCCCCTCGCACTCCAGAGCCTGGGGGGCCAACCTAGCAGATTTTTTGTGCTCCTGCGGGTCTTCCATCCTTGTCCTGTTCTGCTGGGGAGGAGCGAGCCCCAGCTGGGCTCTCCGTGATGAGGACACCTGCCCGTCAGGAACAAGCCCTCCCGGTCGTTTCACCCAAGGGCCACAGAACCGGTGCCGGGGCCGGGCCATGGCTCACGGCACGCCTGGACTTCCCACGCACCAGCTGCCCGGCAGCGAGAGGAAAACCATTCCAGATTCGCCTTTCTGGCGGTGGCGCGAAACCGGTGAAAGGACAGACACACAAACCTCTACACTGAGAAATCCAAGTCCCCTTCCCCCCCACCCCCCACCCCCAGCGCAGATGTGCCGGGTCTGCTCCCAACACTGGTGTAAACAGGGTGTGATTGCTGAAAACGCACAGACACCAGAGTACAACTCCTCAGAGCTCACAACCGCGCCCTGCCAGAGACGTCAGTCCAGCGGCTGCCTGGGTTGGTTCTCCGGGGGGGGGTTGCCCGTGGGCG